CCTTCCCTTCCCGCACCTTCCCTTCCCTTCCCTTTCCTCCCCCTCCCCTCCCCTCCCCTCCCCTCCCCTTCCCAACTATTAGTTAGCTTTAGCTACCAATAAGTTAAAATTTACATAAAACAGTATGTCCTTCATCTTAACCAACTAGCTTAAGCAAGTCATTGATACTGTTTTTAAAAGTACATGGCCAGCAAGTCACGCTAGCAGAATAGCATGGGGATCAGTTCATTGCTAAAGCTTACTTATAAAGCTTCTTCAGAAAAATTCTGGAGAACCATGGAGAATATCCTCTCAGAATTGAGCAGAAGAGCACTGTTTTCCATATCCTTTGGGTGGATTTTTGGCACTAATGTAGCCTGGGATACAGAAGCCACCCCATGCCAAGCTACTGTAAGGTTATCAGATTACATCAACAACGTACTGGGAAGCAGGTATTCAACCTTACCAGCCTTGCTCTGGGTCACAGGAATAGACTAGAAATAATGCATATGAAAAATCTTTTTCAGAGATATGTGGGAAAACAAAAATAAGCTTCAGTAACCTATTATTGGAGAGTTCTTGAACCATTTTTTTTATTATTTGTGGGCCAAATACTGCAGTAATTAAGCAGCAAAATGAAGGGAATGTGCTTTGCTTTTAGTGGAAATTAACACTGGTTTTCTCCAGGCATTCAATCACTTAACTCAGTTGTCCTTTTATATTATTCAAATGTGATACACATTAGTTAAACATAAGTGGTTGAAGAATCTTGTTGCAGAATGCCTCTTGAGGGAGAAGTATGTGATAAACATTTCTACTAATGGAATATTTATGTTAATGTAAATTAACTCCATAAGGGTAGCAAGCCCTTTGAAAGGTGAATGTGATGTTCCTGCTGCACAGTGATGCTTTTATTATTTTGTTACTTGTACAAGGAGAAGTGTACAAGCTTCTTCTCTAGCCATCAAGGAATTTTCAAATGCAGATTTGGTGACCCTCAAGAATGAAGGCCTGTCACACAATGAAAATATAATGCATAATTGTGTGATGCTGTAGACAGGAAGGATGTTTTGCAGAAATAATTGAAAGAACTGTGGTCTGAGAAAAAAATGCAAAATTAACTGAATCTGTAGGAGACTAGAGCAAAACAAAGAGCTACACCTAGCAGGTAGAGATTGATAGAGATAGTGATCATTTTGAAGTGATCAGTTGCCAAGAATATTAGGGATAAGGACCTAAGAATGACAAGAAAGACTATGGTGATTTTTGTCTCTGTTTCCTGTAATTCAAGGTATTGGCATTTCCTTAGAGATATGAGGTCTGACAAAAGCTGAAGGGATGCAGGAAACTGGTAGCAGACCTTGCCTGGAAATCATTTCCATTATTATAGCTGAAGAGACCCAAACACATTTCAGGGAGTGGAAACAATGACTTCATAATCCCCTCTGGATAACGTGTCTGCAATGTCTCAGTTTTTGTATTTTCATATGTGTATATATATAAACATATATGCATATAGATATGCTGCACACCTGAATCCTGCCATGAGGGAAGAGTTGGGCACAACAGCTTTAGGGATGGTGGAATAGAAGAAACAGTTGCACCATCCTTTGGAAGATAGTGCGGCAGGCAAGAGAGCCATGGCGGTCTTACCAGTGTCCAGCACTCTCCCTCTACTCTTGTGCATAAGAAGAAACAATCCCTGGAGGTTAGAGAAGGACAAAATCCAGTGAAGTTGTGCCCAGTGTCTCTGACCACATGGGGATTTATCCAGCTGCTTGTTTTGAAGTTCCCTATCAAATGTAAGAACAACCTGCTAAAATGCCTTAGATTCTTCAGAGATTTTGTTTTCTTTTTTTTTTTTTTCCTGTATGCAAATTTATTATTAAAATTATTTATATTGCTCAAAGTGCTCTATCAACTGTGTTCTATTAATTCAGGAATGGCAGTGATAAGATCTAGTTCTTTCCAAAGAATTTGGTATGCCACATCTCCCAAATGGGATCAGATTACAAAGACAATTCAGCTCCCAGTTAGGCTCTTCAGTGAAGTGGTTAGATTTTTGACAGCACTCAGCATCCAGTGAGTCTGGTGTTCATTTTCAGGAATGGGAGCTGGTGAGCTCTTCTGAAAATGTAACCTTTTGTACTTAAATATTTGTGTGTTTTCTCCCAATCCCATTTTCCATGAAGTTATGTGATATTTTTTCATTTTGTTTCCTTGCTTAATAAAAAAACTAAATAGTTCTGCAAGAGTCCCACTGCATTTCTGTGCAGTGGGATTTTCATATTTTTGTGATTATTTTTTCATATTTTTGTGATTTTCATTATATTTAAACCTCAAGTCTTCATAAATAAGTACACAAAAGAAACCACAAATACCATGATGAGTTGTACAGTAGTGATAACTCCAAGTACAAATACTAAATTTAAAATGTAAGTTGTTATTTGTATAGCCTATTAACATGAATGACTGACGAATCACAGTAAATCCACAAACACATGTTGAACTGGGATATTTGCACATGTAAATCCATTTGCCTTAACGCCTTGGATAAATGTGGCAGTTTTATGTGACCTGCGTCTTTCCAAGAACTACAGATGACTTTCTTGCAATGGAAATCTGTATGGTGGTCTAACCGACATTTAAGAAAAATCTGGAAGATAGGAATATTTAAAGATCCTCTCAGTTTCAGGTGTTATGGAAGTTGTTAGCTTCCAGTTCCTGATGAATACCTGTGAATAATTAAAAAATGTACATCATATGGCCAGACTGGTATGCTAGTGATGCCAGGTAAGTCCAAGATACCTCTAAATCATTACATACATGTCATCTTACTTATCAAATGGTCTCTGTTGTCCTTTCACACTATCTTCACCCTGACAGCTCTTCTTCTAGTCTTTATGGTGCACACCAGCATCTGGCTTTGATGCTGCACATCTCTCAGGTTCTCCCTACACATTGATGCCATTTGTGAGATTCTTATTCCCACACTTCCCAAAGACCTGCTTTCTATGCTGTGCATAAAGGGCACTAATTTCTGCGTTAAATGTTCTCAGCAAGAAAAGCCAGTCATTCTTCTTCCTCATGTCAGTTGTCTGAGTTTTATCACATTACCTTTGTCCTCCCTCTGTGTGTCAAATTGAATTCTGCAGATTGGAGGTGTTCCTGAAAAAGTAGCAACTCTTTTCCTTGCCACTGTAGCATGTCTGGTGTGTTCTGGTGTCTTTGTTTTGGTATAGGTAGTGATTAATAGTTGCAACAATTCATTAACTGCTACTGGTCTGTGTCAGCTGTCTTAGTGGTCTCTATTTAAGTCTTACAAATCACTGCCTAGGCAATAAGCATGTCATCCTGCAAACAAAGTGAAGGTGAGCAAGGAGCTGTGACTTCTTTTCTCTAAACTATTTTTTTAGTGTTACCTCATCTTTCTATGCCACCCCCTTCCTGTTTTCACATACCCATTGCCTTCGTGGTCTGACTCTGAGCTCAGTGTGCTAGGGACACTTTATGCTGGTATTTATTGCTGCACACCATTAGCACAGTGTTCTGTAGGTTGTGTCCTTGCAGCGTTCCTGATTGTGATGTTAATGGACTGCTATTCAGGATACAATAATGCCAAATGTGGCATGAGATGAAGAGGCATGGAAGCATTATGCTGATCTTTGTTCCCTGGGACTGGTCCCTGGTGTAATCAACAGATAGGAGTGGGTGGGATACAGGTGGGACAGGGGTCTTCAGTTGCCCGATTCTCAGCTGAACTCTGTTTCATTTCTGTTGGAAGGAATTCATTCCTCAGGACAAGCTGTCTATTTGGCCCCTTTTACAAACACTCAGATCAGTTTCAGCACATGAAAAAAAGCAAAGGTCTGGTTACATGGATCTGGGGTAGAGGCAACAGTGCATAGCTCCAGCAGAAAGCTAACCTTTCCTTCCACTGTTTTCCTGCTTTCCCCCCTCCTCCTACTGAGCCCTGCAGAGAGATTAGCGATCAGACTGTAAATTCCCCAAGTACAGAAAGTAGTAAACCTCCCATCCCCTCCCCAAGAGGACTTGTATGCTGACAACAGCTTCACTCAATCTGACACCTGTTTCACTCTGAAACAGGCCCCTATAAATAGAGTAAATGTAACCCTAGGTGGCATTGCAAAATATTATGGAAAAACATAGCTTACAACCCTGAGAAAAAGGGGGAGTAGAGAGAGTGGGGGTGGGCAAAAAGACACTATCTACCATAAAAACCTGGCAGCTTCATGCAAGTGCTGTTGCTTTTAATTTAAATGCTCATTTCTTATTCTATTTTCAGATCCTCTCTGGGATTTTAGGAATGTTGAGACGTGCTGGTTATAAAGCCCTAAGTACAAAATGGTCACGGATGGCTGGAATGAGGCATGTTCTAATGGAAACAAATCACTTGTCAGTAAGCAGCCTTCAAACTTTTGAACAAAAGCTCAAAAGGGTCAGGGAAAAGACATGTTTGTTGATTTAAAATGGCTGGATGCAGGTCATCAGGACGGCATAGGCTTCAATATTGTTGAGGTAACTCTTCAGTTCTGTAAGTTATAAACAAGGTTAAATACTTTGATGGCAACCACAAATGGAATGAGGAACTTAAATTAAGCAGAAAGCTCACACGTTATAAAGTGAAGTGTGCATAATACCAAAATGTAAAGCATGTACACCACTGCAAAACAGCTGCAGAATGGAGCTGAGCTGTGGGAGCCACATTTAGGTAGTTGTACATGACTGTGAGGAAGACTATGCCGTATCTACTGAAATTTAGAAGGGTGACCAGTATTCCTGTAGATGTCTGTGATTCATTGATATTTTAGTTAGTTAAAATAGTGTAACTTAGCTTTATAGTGATTTGATGATACATCCAAATCCTGGTTCTGTTTATTCACCCTATAGATTTTAACTCTAAGTGAAATTATTCAGTACAGTAGTTAATTTTTTATATCTGCTTGCAAAACACATAGTGAGGTTCGTGACCCCTAGAACAACTATAATGAGGGATCAGCTCTTCTTTTTCCTGCGTAATATTTTGTGTTGCTCTGTGAAATGAAAAATGTTGGTGTATGATAAATTGTATAAGGTGGATGAATTACAGTCCCTGTGGAACATCATGTTGAATCTCCTAATTCTACTGTAGCTTGGTTTCATAAGAAAATGATGCTTATGCAATCTTCCTTTATGATTAGTCTGTCTGTCTGCTATTTGCCCTCACAAGCAGCTTCTGAACTTGTTCAGTCTTCGGCTGGATTTGAAGAGTTGGAATAATTATATTTTGACTAGGTTTGTGGAAACTGCTTTCTGTCTAGAAGAAGAGAGACAGAGTTAGTACCTCTGTAGAGGGGAAGGAGGATACAGAAATTGCCAGCAGTCAACATGGGGCTCCTTGGAACAGTACACACAGTTTTGTGCATAAAGAAACACAGTGGGGACTGATGAGTCAGGTTTGGGCACAGGTGACTGGGCAAAGAAATCTGAAGGGACAAAGGTTTGACCTCCATTAGTAACCAGGTTTCATTTCAGTGTTCATGGAATAATTTCATTTTGGTATGGAAAACAGCAGGAGGAGAAAATGGAATGACTCTGTTGTAAAATGGTATCTGTGAGCTTCAAAGTGCAGGGCAGTCTTTTGGTGTTTCTGAGGTTTACTCTGCTAAGTAAACATTATTCTGCTTTCAAAGGGAAGAAACTGAGACACTTTCTTCACAGAGTTTTGACTTGCACAAAGGCACCAAATGACTCAGCAGAAACCAGGTACAGCTTACAGATGTTTAGGTGGCCTAGAATAGTTTAATCATTTAGATTGGAAAAGATCATCAAGCCCAAACTTAATGCTAATACTGCTAAGCCCACCAGTAGATCATACCCCTAAGCACCACATCTACACATCTTTTAAATACCTTCGGGGATGGTGGTGATTTAACGACTTCCTGGAAAGCCAGTTCCAACTTCAGCCCTTCTGCTGAAGACATTTTTTCCCATATCCAATTCCGCCCCAAACTGAGGGGCAACTTGAAGCTATTTCCTCTCATTCTGCCACTTATAATCTGTGAAAGAGGCCAAGACCTACCTTGCCATAATCTTCTTTTAGGCAGATGTAGACAGCATAAAATCTCCCCTGGGCCTCCTTTTCTCCAGGCTAAACAACCAAGCTCTCTTAGCCTCTCCTCAAAGAACTTGTGTTACAGACCCTTCATCAACTCGATTGCCCTTCTGGACAATCTTCAGCATCTCAATGTCCTTCTTGTAATGAGTGGTCCAAAACTGAGCACAGGATTCCAGGTGTGGCCTTATCAGTGCTGAGGATAAGAGGACAATCACTGCCCTGGTCCTGGCCAATATGGCCAGCAACTTACACAGATCTTCACTAACCATATGTCATAGCCATGCCAAATATTCTCCTTCCTCAAGGGAACCTCATCACTGCTCCCCATCCAGCAACTCTTTAATGTTGCTCTTTGGGTCTTTTAAATTGTCATCTGTTATTATTGCAAGAGAAGAGCCTTGCCTGTTCAAGCCCAGCAATCTCTTGCCATCCACAAAGGTTGTTGTATGTGTTGCCATGACAAGGAAAATATCTTCCAAATGCCACTTGTTTTGTTTGCCAAATGCCACTAATAGTTGTTTTGTTTCTGCCAGAAATGAGGCCATGCTGCTGAAGAAGGATTGCAAGGTAGTTTGCAGAGAGCTCCAGGTGGTATGAACCAAAGCAACCTGATACCTGAGTTGGTTTTGTTTGAAGTTAACTTGGAGTTGTCCATAGTATCCTGATCTCCTCACCTGCCATAAATATGGCAGCTAGATATTTTTCATCCTGCTCTTCTTTCCTGACTTATCCATCATGTGAAGGACACTCTGAGACCATGGGGAGGAATAATTGTGGGAGACACTTCTCTTCAGATGCTACACTGCCTGGATGAAAGCTTATCAGCAGCTTGGGTTTCTCAGCATTGATGCAGGTGGGTTTGCAAACACCTTATATTTGCATTAGAAATGGCATTACCCTTACATACAAGCACTGTTTCAGTCCTGCTGCACCACTCAAGCTCTGTGTTGAAGCCTGGTGATCCATCATAGACTGAGATAGATCTGGGTCCTGGGACAGAGAAGGCATGAGGCAAGGACTGAGATTTGCTTCCAGTACCATGATTAATTTGTATATAGGAATGCAGTAGCACTGGGAAAATGCTAAAGGTTGGGCTGGGAGGGAAGGCAGATGTACTACTGCAAGCTGCTGCTGTGTCTCCCTGTAGGACAAGCAGATTTCTCCTTGCCCAAATAAGCATCAGATAGGAAAAAACACTTTTAGAAAACCTAAGCCTTGATACTATACTCATTTCTGGGAAAGAATTATGCCTGCTGCTCATGTGAATTGAATTTAATGTACTCATGCATGCACACACACACACATTTTTGGGGTTTTTTCACATGGCTGTCAAAAATAACACTGAAACATGTAAGTTAAGCATGCTGTTGTAACACAATGGCACTTCATTACTGTTGAGGGCAGCTCAGGTTTCCTTCTGAGCATATCACCAGCAGGCTGTAATGGAGTAGTACAGAGGGCAAATGAAAAGAACAGCGCAACCTCATGCCATTTAATCCTAAATGTCAGGCATGGTCAGTCTTCCCTGCTGAGTTCCCCAGTGTATGGATTTAGCATCTTCAAGAATTATCTCTCATGGTGTTTAATTCAACATAAATAAGGTAATATCAAATTGTCTTCTCCTGGAGAGTTTTTATCCAAATTACAGCAGTTTGCCTTATAAATAATTTCTCTTCAATCAGCAGTCTCTCTTTCCTCTGTAAATCTTACTATCTTATTTTCATAACTTGCTACTTCTCTGACTTTCAATTAACACTTCATTTACGTTCTTTACTTAGACACTGTAGGTGTAGCCTTTTGAAATTTTTCCCTAATGTGGTTTTAGTGCTGTCACTTCACTTAGGGCCATGGTAATGACTAACCTCTGCTCCTGTACCTCTGTTGCAATGTTGCATAATGACTTTTCAGAAGTTCTGAATTAATGCAGGTCGGTTGATAATTTCAGGCTACATGGCAATATGGTGCCTAGAAAAAAATCCATTTGTAATCTGAAAAATCTTATGGGAGTGTTGCATAACTTGAGGAATATATTAGCTCATTAAGTAGAAGTCTGTAGTGTGAGAATGTGTAAACATGATTATTATCACTTAAAAAAAAAAAAAAAAAAAGCTTTATTTCTTAAGTAGTGTTCTCACAATACAACATCATAGTAGCTCCAGGTAATGGTAGTTGTTGCAAGGAAACCCTTCCGCTCTGGAGTCCTGTCACCTACTAAAGCTCATCTTGCATGCTGGTGCAGCATGACCTGTGCTCTGAGTTTCCTTGCTAAATGTGCCATGTGTGGTGCTGCTGTAGAAATTCTTGCTGTGCCATTTGCTCCACTCTGGCCCCTTCTAGCTTGTATGCCACCCATCAGCTGTCAACAGGCAAAGAAGAAAATTTGAATCACAAAAGGTCACTAGCAAGTAGGTTTTTAGGAAGCTGATGGAAGAAAACATAGCAACTAGTATCTATAAATTGTGAGTTCATTTTCTGTTTAGAATACAAGGGGTTTTTCTGCACTGATAACAAGATACTATTTTTTAGCTCATTATGTAATGACAATTCAAGATGAGATCATGATAGCGAGACCACAGCAGTTACTAGGGAGTGTCCAGAAGCACTGAGTAGCTGGCATGATGGATAGGGTTGTTATGAAATTTGTTTTAAAAATAATTCTGGAATTCTACCCCTCTTTTTGCTTATTTTAAGATTCGTATGCAATGTCTTGAATGTCTATGTTGTGAATTATGCTGCTAGTAGATCCCCCCAGCTGGTCTGTCCAGTAACTGTTGGCTAGTAGTATCATGTTTCCGTGTTAAAACTTTAAAAATAATTTAATGATAGCTATGTTTAGTGACATCATTTTAGCACCCATATGACTTGACTCTCCCTTGCACTCTGCCTGAGACCATACAACAGCTGCATTGTACCCGTATATGTCACAGGCAAATTTATAGAAAGAGTGAATCATGCTGACACTGATTACTGCATCTCTGTTAGCTGTATAGGCTCTAGGTTCACACAGATGCTTGAGCCTTCTTTAGTCTTCATAAACCTTTGAAGAAAAAGCATTAAAAGTTTCCTGAAGGAAAGTCTGTACTGATTATTTTCAATAATATTATTCTTTTTGGGGTGGAAAATACAAATTTGGAGACAGATGATTTCTTCTTAAAATATTGTAATGCATTTATTTTCTCTTAAGTGCTCCAGGGCAATATTAATAGGTTTATTCTATTAAGGAAGAGTAGTATTTCCAAAATAATAGTTGAAAGATACTGATCTTCCCACTAAAAGGCTTTTGCACAGAGAACCTCTATTGTTCAGGGACAATTATTTCTGGAAAACCTTGTATCTCCTGTCTTCCTTACCTACCTGCTTTTCTGTTTTCATGCTGCTGTGATTAGGTATCACTTTGCATGCTAGTAATTCTTTTTATAGTAAGATACAATGCAACATAGTTACTGGTCACAATTTGCTCTTAGCTACATTGCTGACAATTCAAGGTAAGTTGGCCAGTATCACAGACAGATGCAGAGCTGTGAACAGAATTTGTTTGTCTTTTTCTACCAGTCAGAGATTTCTTTTTGTCCATTTAAGAATATATTATTTTCATTTTCCTCTTTAGAGAAATAGCGTTTCTCTTGGCCAACATCAGATTATTTTTCCATCAGTTAAGAAAAGCTCTTGCTGCAGAAAACAATGTGATCTCCTGATATGGGTAGAAGTGTACTCTGAGAAAAATTAATATTGAGTGTGATACCTCATGTGTCTGTAACTGTCATGTAATGCATTATGTTTGCATTTCGCAGGACAGCTAGTTCAGAGGATGCTGCTGAAAGTTTTACACTATCTTTACCGTGGGAGAAATAGGAGAACTACTTGGCCCACTCTGGTTCCAGTTCAGGTATAAAGCTGTGTATTGTAGCCTTGAAGTCTGTGTAACAAAGATGTCTGAGCAGTGTCCACTCAGGATCATGTATGGATTTAACTTACCCTGCTGCCTTTCCTTTTGAAGTCCAGGTTGCAGAGTGATTTGGTAGATAAACCGGGCTGTGCTGTCAGTTTCACCCTGGACAGTGTGATTTTTTTAAAATCTGATTTACATGACAGGCATACTTAAAAGACCGGTCCTGAGTCTCTGGTGGCAGGTGACAAAACCAAGGTATTAATAAAGAGAAGAGCTGATAATGCAACCTGTGTGATCAATCCTGTGCTGTGGTCTGTGTCCTCAGAGGGATGAGCAGCAGCCAGGCTGAAACATGTAACAGGAAAGCTGTGTGGTCTGCCACAGCTGGCTGCTGGCTACTATTCCCATCTTGTTATAGAATTCATTCTGGTTAATAATAAATTCAGTTAAAAACTATTTAAGTAAAGCCTGATGTGGCTTGTCGGATACAGTATTGTGTCGGGAAGCCAAAAGTTGCATTTGCTCACAGTTTTCTGTCGTGTTTTGTAACAGTAGACGAATTGCCCATGCCTCCACTCAAAACAAATCCATTGTCAGTCCTGCTTGCTAGGCAGACAAATTGCTTTGGGAAGAGGCTGTATTTCAGGGTGTGCCTCTACAATGTCTGGATAGGCCATGGCCAAGACAGGAATGCCTATCACGTATGAGCATCTGTAGCACGTGTCACTATTACAGTGCAAAATGAACCAATGTGCCCTTGGATGATGACTCCCCTGCTCTCTGTAACCTGCAGTAGGTTTGGGAGATGGCTCAGTAAAACCAGTTTTCATAGAAGAAATTGGGTCTTCAGGAAGAGAGAGTGAAATGAGAGGGACAAGAAGACTGATGCTGTTGCCTGAGTTAAGAGGATGAAATGAGATGTGGGGCAGAGCCTGGTTTGAGAGGAAAGGCACAATGTTTGCAACTGACTTAACATATGGCAGCAAATCTGTGAAGTGGCTCAAATAAAGGTCCCAAATGTTTTGTCTGTCCTACATACCCATGGCAAGTTCAAGCACAGTTATCTGGGCTGAGCTTCCAGGGCTTAGGGATCATCATGTGTGGGAACTTTTCACTCACCCCAGTTTGTGACTGACCATGAACATAGAGGTGATTTCCTCTCTTCCTGGAATTGAACCATGCCTTGATCCCAAGCCTCATGGGAGAAAATTGGAAAGCAGGTAATGAATCTGTTTGTCCTCTTGTTTACTGAGTTGTAAATGTAAAGAAATTCAGCTGCAATTGGAGATGGAATATTGCAAAATTTGTGTTAGTGAGAAGAAAATAAGACCAGAATGTTTTTCAGTTTAAGCAAAAAGAAAAGCTGAACAACTTCATGGGGGTATTTGTTCAGTTGCTTTCAAAAATGTAAAGAAGATTAAAGAGAAGAGTGAAAATACTTGAATCATATTAGCACTTCATTTCATAGCTACCTTGTTCTCTTGTTGATCCTTCACTGAAAGTAAAACTTTGGGAACTGATGGAATTCAGAAAGTAGCAATGAAAATCATTAATGGGATGCTATCATTTGCTTTACTAGGAAAGTGGTTGTGGCTGACCTATACAAGGTGCTTTGAAAGGACCCATTAGCATTACGGATGGAAGTGAAATACTGATTAACATGATCAAGATTATTAAATTGCCAGATGAAACAAAAACTAAGATATGTCATATATTAGGAGGTAGAGTACAGAGGTGAGGATTTAATCACATTTGTTAACTTTTCTCTAACAGAATCACTTCATTACATACCTTGATTTTTAAAGGCAATGCTTCCAAAATGGTAGGAAAAAAAAAAAAAAAAAGAAAAAAAAAAAAGATAGTTTTAATGCATTACATAATGAGACATAGGGCATCAAAGCTAGCATGAGGCACTTGAGAAAAAAGATTAGATGTGTACTAACAAACTGAAGCAGACATTTGAGTTTCATAAAGCAAATGGCCACTGCCAGCATTTCCTTGCACTTGTCAGTTCTGGCCCTCTGACTGATACTAAATGAGTAATTTCATACAATAGGAAAAATCAGATTCTTTAGTTGCTTTACATATTCACCTGTTTGCCTGTGCAGCTGTAGCTACCTTGCCAGTTGGCTGAACAGCAGTTCTAGGTAACACTAAGAGCAGAAACTCTTAAAATGTGGCAGCATATGTGAAAAAGAGCAAAGGACCCACTTTTTGTAGCTGCACTATCCAAGTGAGCATTGTTTCATAGCTTTAGTGGATCACCTAGAGACTTCTTCCCTCATATTTGAAGACAGGTTACTTTGTGAAATATGATACTAGGGATTGTGATGTATCCAAAAGCAACATAAATGCATTGCAGATTGGTTTTGCTGTTTCAGAAAGCATGTTCACATACACAGTCTTAAAAGAAGATGGGAGCAAAGCCAACATAGAATTAACCACACTGAATAACTTGCACATTTTCCATGAAGTCTTTCATGTATTCTCTGCTTTTCAAAAGTGAACAAGGGCCAAAACCAGCCACATCACTTGGATTTGCTATAATGAACTCCTGCTTCTCTGCAGTCTGAATCTAAGCCACTATCCTACACTTACCACATCATAAGAAACCACTAACCCTAACCATGAGACCAGTACATTCATGTCTCTACAATATGTTCGTTACACTCACATTAATAAAGGAATATAATGTTACAATGCCTGTGCCATTAAACAACACCTGTTCCATACAATGGAAACAAGGCACTCCATCATTAAATATATTATCTTCTTAACAAAGAACTGCACAACTGTTTGGCTAGAGCTGTGAAGCAAATGGTCTATTTACATATGAAAAGAAATTTGTGTACATTTGATGAATGACAGAATAATTGCTATATATGGTAAGGGAAATGGAAGTAAAATATTTCGTATATTCATTACTGCTATTGCCAGTAAGTTGGAAAGGCCTTGATATAGCTGTGAATGTACCTTTCTTGACCACTTCAGCTAGGCAAAGCTTACACAGGCTGCCGGCAGCATCACAAGAGTAAGCTTTAATTCTAGGAATCTTAGTGGAAAAGGTCTGGTACAATGTGTTCAAATCATCCCCTAGTAACACACATAAAATGGGTTTTGTCTACTTGATTTCACAGTTCTGAGATGTGGGTCCTCCACCACTGCACTTAGAAAGAAGCCTGGTCTGGCTTTAAACAAATTCCTGAGTGTGATATTTTTTTTCCTTTTTATTTAGTGGACATTCTTATTTCTTGTTGTCGTTCATGTTATTCTCACCATACCTTTAAAACCATCCACAATTATGGGTCTTGGCCCTAGATAAGCAACCCCAGCCCAAACCTCTGTGGAAACAGCGGGGGAAAGGTTAAAGGGGTAGAACACCCCAAAGTGGGTTCTATACCTTCAGCAACAAGCTGCAGGATAGAAAGAGATGTGATCAAAGGCTTTGGACAAGGGAAAATTATAATTTTCTACTTCAGTCACCTCTTCTACACACATATGCATGCATATACACAAAAGGGAGGAGACTTTTCTTTGCAAATTTCACTTGAAATTGCTGCTGCCAGCCGTTATCTGGAGCTAAATACTAGACACAGAGTAAATGTGCTACCCTTGCTGCAATCCAAATATTACTGACCTGGTAGGAGGGGAAGATGGCAGCTTTGGTGCAATGCAGTCAGTGAAAAGGTGAGAAGTAGCAGGTGAAGAGAAGGACCTAGATGGCTGGGGAAGAACAGTAGGTTCTTGATTTAGGAATATCCATGTTTAGAGGTGTTGATCTGATATGCAGAAATACCAAACCCTCACAGCAGAAACTGATGGCAGTGAGAATCATGTTCGGCAAATATAGAGTGCTCTTGAGTACTGAGAATTGGAGCTGGCAACTCAAACTGGCCACACAAATTAGCTTACTGTATAGACAAATTTAACTTTTTTTCTCACTGAAACTCATCTCTTTGTGCATCTAAAAATACTAGTAATGACATCACACTTTTAGTAAATGTATTCAGGTTTATTTAAAGGGAAAATAAAAAGCTAAACAGGAAACAATGTGAACATATTATAATGTAGAAGCCAGATAAAAGCCTGAGAAAAAGAAAATTTCTCTTTTGCTTGTAGGGTTTGAAAAGCATGCAGCAAATGACACCTGAGATCTCATGCTGAATGAGTAGGATAAACATAAGTATTGAGTAACTGCCCATTCACTGAAAGAAGGCAAGGTTCTAGCAGAATATCTGACCGTGTTTTACATTATTTACTTGTCTATAGGTATGAAGTGTGTAACTAAACTTGGCCACGGGAACTGAGCTCAGGGAGCATGATGGGGGGGCTCAATTAAGAGGCAGAGAAAAACCTTAATCCTATTGCTTAATTTACCCAGGTTCAAGGGCTTGATTTTGTGAGTCTAATTATTCTTTTCACAGTTTTCTTCTCCAGTGCAGTTCATGGGTATGGAAAACAACATGAGCACTTTCTGAAAGACAGCTGGCACAGCTGGTTCCTCAGCACACATGACCACAAACCAAACCTCATACTGTCAGCTTAATCTTTGCTTTGGCTTGTTTAGATTAGTGACCCATCAAAATGTGTCAGTGTATACCAACCTTTTCTTCCATAAACATTTTTTCCCTCTTGTAGCTGATTTTTATATGCGCAGCATTCTGCAAGCTGCATAAATATCCAGCTCCTTGTGGTTCATAAGCATACCCAGGAAATAGTGATTGCCTGGTAAAGCATTTTAGGCTGGCAACTTGGGATCTCTGTAATGAGATCTTGCACAATGTTTGTTCACTCTTAGAAGATCAGAATGTTCCTTGCCAAACCCTCAACCTTTAAGAGGAAATAGGACATATTGCCCTTCCAAGAAGACACAGATAGGATGGCAAAACTCTTCTGACACAGGCAGAAACAAAGAGACCTAAAAGAAGAAGGTAGTCTCATCAAAGAAGATGTGTAACCATGATTTTCCTCTTCTTACTGACTCTTGGCAGCAGGTT